CAGGGGGGGAGGTGGGGGTTTTTCCCCCCCCCCCCCCCCCGATCAGGTATTACAGACATGCATCTGTGAGAGACATTGCAATGATTACAGAAAATAACACAAAGTCAAGGTTTTCTTGCAGCCATTATTATTACCACTGTACAGCGTACTCCAGTTTGAGACCAGCTGTTGCAATTACAGAAAAGAGAAGCATCAAAATTGGAAGGACAGAGTAAAACTCTTGAGATTTTCACGTCTAATATAAACATATCTTTGTAGAATCCGTTTTAGGAAGGAAGAAGTCACCTGGGCTGAAATAATCTTACACATCCTTTGAGTGACTAAATGCTGCTGTTATTACTACTTTATAAACTTGAGTGACAAATCAGTTGAAAACATGTGTTTTATAACAATCAGAAATACGCCTTTCAAGTCATTGCAACAACAGATTAAAGTCCTGGTGGCTGGCTTATTTATTGCTATTATCTGCATACCTTGATCACAGACCGAGAGCCTGCTGGACTAGACCATGTAGAAACCCAAGCAAAACAATAGTTCTTTCTGCACAGAATTTAGTACAAAATTAAATGCGAGAGATGGGAGAACGCTAGAAAGGAGGAGGACTGAATAAATCAACACCGTAGGCAGAGACAGCAAAATGCAAATGTCCTACCCTGTTTTTTGTAGAATTCGTAGCGGAGGAGACTTTAAAGAGGAATCTGGAGGGAGATATGAGCTAGTTTTATGAATTTTTGCAAGGAGCTTCTTCCAAACACAAAGAAAACACTGGAGGCAGTTAAAAAAAATGCTTGTTTGAAAAGTGGCTGTAGTATTTGATCTGCCTCCTACACATTGGCAGCCTGTAAAATGCGAATGGTTTAGAATAAAAGCAATTCCAGGATCAGCTTCACACTGCCATAGCACCATGGTCTTAGACAAACCTGCATTTTTCTTTATTTCTAGTAGAATAGCTATCTATACCTACTCTGCAGGGTTATAAATCTGAGAAATTTTATGTGTATATGTATGCCTTAAGTAGGTTTTTAATGAAGGCTTCTTGTAAGTATAGTGAATCTTTAGACAGCTTTTTTTATATATTCAAGTGCATGCATGTGTGTATGCTCTCATTTGAAAGCACTATCAGAAAAAATAGTGTGTTCAGGGGCTCCCTATACTGGACTTCAGTCTCCAAAAAAGTGACTAAACTAAGAATTATATTAAAGGCTATACCGCTTTCAATTTTTGCAATAGCATATTGGTAGAACAGGAGTTGTTCTTCAATTTTATAATGTTTCAGGTTGCTATGAGTGAAGTGGGAGATGGAGGATGGAAGCAAAAACTTTGTTAAGGCCAGGAAAGAGCCTCTTCCCTGCAGACTGCAAAAGTTCCACTTCTCAGTCAGAATCCTTCCTCTGCCCTGAATTTCTCAAGGTGTTGCAATACACATCCTGATACAACAGATGTATGCAGGACAGAACACTTTTTCTTGTAAAGCTTAAAATTTATAGAAACGTGAAAAAGTATGCCTCTTCCATCAGAAGAGTACACTTCCAGTTCCCCCAATGCACGTATGTTCTCTTTCCTGCTCCCATCGACTGTTGAAAATCTGAGTCTTTGACAAGGGTTACAGGTGTCTTTTGGGTATCACATCATATCTTGTCTTTTTTTCTACTGATTAACTAAATTAGCTCTGTTTGTTGGAAATCATTCCTATGCTGCATATTTAGAGTTTTGCCCAAAGTATTAATGCCCAGAAACTAAAACTGGAAATCAGGTGTCTGCAATATTGACACGTTAGGTCTTTTAAGAGAAACACAATAAACTTAACCACACTGGGGTTGTTTCCATGTCACACTGGCTTCCCTGACTATGTGATCGTGTTAGCAGTTTGACAGGTTGTATCAGGTTAACGTGGCAAGGTTCTGGTAATGGGGGCTGCAGGGGTGGCTTCTGTGAGAAGACGCCAGGAGCTGCCCTATGTCGGACAGAGCCAATTCCAGCCGGCTCCAAGATGAACCTGCTGCTGGCCAAAGCTGAGCCCATGAGTGATGTTGGTACTGCCTGTGGGACAGAAAGGATAAAAAATGCTGTGCAACAGCTAGGAGACAGGAGTGAGAAGCTGTGAGAGCCCCAGCCCTGCAGACCCCCAGGTCAGTGCAGAAGGAGGGCAGGAGGTGCTCCAGGCACCGGAGCAGAGATTCCCCTGCAGCCCGTGGTGATGAAGACCATGGTGAGGCAGGCTGTCCCCCTGCAGCCCAGGGAGGTCCACGGGGGAGCAGATCTCCACCTGCAGTCCGGGGAGAGAGGAGCCCACACCGAAGCAGGGGGATGCCCGAAGGAGGCTGTGACCCTGTGGGAAGCCCGTGCTGGAGCAGGCTCCTGGCAGGACCTGTGGCCCTGTGGAAAGAGGATCCCACGCTGGAGCAGGTTTTCTGGCAGGACTTGTGACCCCACGGGGGACCCACGCTGGAGCAGTCTGTGCCTGAAGGACTGCAGCCCGGGGAAGGGACCCACGCTGGAGAAGTTCGTGAAGATCTGCAGCCCATGGGAAGGACTCCATGCTGGAGCAGGAGAAGAATGTGAGAAGGAAGGAGCAGCAGAGATGAAGCATCAAGGACTGACTGCAACCCCCATTTCCCCATCCTTCTGTACCACTCAGGGGGAGGAGGTAGAAGAGTGAGGAGTGAAGTTGAGCCTGGGAAGAAGGGGGGTGGGTCAAGCAGAAAGTCTCACTATACTGCTCTGTTATTAATTCGCAATAAATTAAATTAATTTTCCCAGAGCTCAGTCTGTTTTCCCCTAACGGTAATTGGTGAGTGATCCTCCCTGTCCTTATTTTGACTCACAAGCTTTTTATCTCATCTTTTCCCCTGTCTTGCTGAGGAGTGAGAGAGCAGCTGGGTGGGTACCTGACAGGCAGACAAGGTCAACCCACCACAGAGGTTAAAATTACTGGTGTGAGATGATGAGGTCTCAGATTTTGATAGCTGGGGATTTTTTCTTGTGGTAGACTTTCAGAGTTCAGAGCTTCTGTGCTCTTACTGAGGGCAATTTAAACTCCAGTTGGGAATGCATTATGGTTTCAGTTAATGTAATAAAACATTACAGGTTACAGTGGTCTTTGTAATGAAGCTTAGTTATAGGCAGTAATAAGCTCTAACTCACTGGAAATCATACAGATTGGGGGACAGATAGGTGATAAAAATGGTATACAACCTCCTACTTGCATCCTTACCTTACCTTCTTTCTTTTTCAATCTTTACATGTCATGTAAATATGACTTAAGAATGTAACTACACTTTTATTGGTTTATCAGTCACTGATGTCTCAGATCTGAATACAATTTACCAGCACTTGCTGTAGATTAAGGATGCAATTAATTCCATTCATTCACCCTTCATAAATGTAGATTCTGAATTTATCTAGTAAAGATGTAGTCAGTTCTTGGTGCTGTTTGCTGCTTATGGAGGAGCCTAAAATTAGCTTAACTGATGCAGCAAGGGCAGTCAGTGACCCTTAAGAACTGCCAGCTGTTCATTTACCATCTGAACACGTGACTAGCGCTGCTCTGCTCCACAGCTGTAGTTCACTGAACTAATAGCTAATACATTAAGTCACTCTAAAAGATTTAATTCCTTATAAATAAAACAAATTTAAATGCCATTTCAGCCATGATGGAAGCTGTGCTGGCTGGAACATTGACCTTCAATTTATTTTCTTGCAAGGAGTTCACTTATTATATATAGATTTGTGTGTTTGTTGTTTCTTTGATTAACTGAAATTTTGTGTACACACAGAAATAAAATATTAGGCTTCTAGGGAAAGTTACAGAAAAAAGCCTGATGCCTTGTGCCTGGGGGAATTTGAGCACCTAAATTCTACCTATGCCGTATTTGACTTTTCTAGATCCTTGGATAAGGGCTACAAACTTTCTGCATCCAGATTCTGTCCTTGAAAAGTGGGTTACAGAGTCAAGCTATTATTTTTTTGTCATTGACTTCAACATTAAATGTGTAAGAAAACAAAGCATTACTTCCTGTGTTTTCAGAGATGAGGGTTAGCCTGTAAAATCAGCTTCCCTGCATGACTTATAAACATCTATTTCTGAACAGGGAAGAATTTTCTCTTTAGCGTGCATGGGTGACTCTTCCTAGTTTGTTCCACTGCGTGCAATGGTTTTCTTTCCGCTTTTATTTTACACAGGGAGACCAGGGTATTCCAGGGGACAGAGGTCCACAAGGTGAACGAGGGAAACCTGGCCCATCAGGAGAAAAGGGGGATGTGGGTCCTATTGGGCCACCAGGAGACAGAGGCTATCCAGGATCACCAGGTCATCAAGGTCCCCCGGGTTCACCAGGACCCCCAGGGTTTCCAGTAAGTAAATACACATTTTCCTTGGTTGCTTGTGAATTCAGACGACGTGAAGGTGGCGTGTGCTGAGCACTGGAAATTCAACTGAGGAATGCCACATTAGCAAAAAAACTAAGATAGCTCTGGGAGAATTTCAGTGTTCAGTGAAGAGGTGGAAAAAATATATCTAGGTGATCAAACAGATACTTTTAAATTCTTTTTTAAACATATGCTATGGATAAACTTTAATTATTTATTTCATTAGCTCCTGACAAATCAGTATGGCTACTCAGTACTGTTCATTTTCATTTTTCATACGCTTAAGGGCTAAAGTATAAGTCTTTGCAACTGAGAAAGAAAAGGAGTCAGCCAAAATGATTCTCAATAAAAGGGAAATCAGCATTTCAAAAGACAATGAAATGCTGCATGTCAGCTGTAGATATCTTGGTTTGTCTCCCTGTGCGCACAGGCACACATCCATGTTACGGGGTCTTTATACCCTCAGTCAGATAGAGTAAAGCTCTAAAAAACTTTTCCAGTGAAGTAATTGGTCCTGCAGTGCAGTTCCAGTTAGTCAGCTCTGCATCAAAGCAGTTAGTCCCTAGAGGGGGTGAGAAGTTGGGAAATGCTATGCAAACAGCAAGTAAAGCATAGCGGTGTCACTGGACAGCCTCAACTGTCTTACACAAATTAATTTCCATACACATAATGTGCTGATCATCTTGATAGTTGGGAGGGTCTCTTCCACTTCATGGTATTAGTGGTCTTTATAATATTGTAATGTGTTTGCAATAAAATGGCCTTTGCAGTTAAGTAGATAACACAAATATATTAAAATATTTAATTTTTGGTGAAAGCTTTACATTTTTAATGCTAATTTCAGCATTTTTTTTATTTTTGTAGCATCACAAAATGCCCTTGGTATGTTTCTTCTGATACATATCACCTTTTTTTTCCTCATCAGGCTGATACAGTTTCACTTGAAGAAATAAAAAATTATATCAAACAAGAGGTTCTTAAGGTTTTTGAAGGTAAGAAAATGAAGTATTATACAACTAAACGTAAATCTTAAATTCTGTTCTAAATGTTTTATATCCCTACAGCCTTTATATACATTTCTTTACATGTCATCTTATGTTGGACTTAGCAGCTGCCTTGTTGCTGCAGCTGTACTTAACTGCTGTTTAGGTCTACTTCATTTATAATTGTTTGAACATAATTACATTATAGTATCTGTTAACCAGAGCATTTCCTTATGTAAAAGACCGGCATTAAAAGGCAGTTTGTTCCAAATCGTAATAGCAAACATATGCATCTATCACTGTAGATACATATATGTCATATATCTTTGCAGATACGTATGTATCTACAACGTATCATTAAGACATTAAAGATTTATTTAAATGGAGACAATAGAAATACCTAATTATTTTGGCCACTTAGTGGATGACTATCTAAATGAGAGAAAGGCTTGACAGCTTTCAGCCATGCAGGTCCAAACTGCTGTGCCTTTGCAACAAACATCCCTGCTAAGCTCCAAAGCTCCCTTGCAGACCACCATCTTCTGGCACAATTTTAGGCAAGTACCAGATTCAGCCAAAGCCTTTGTACTATGTAAGCTTTTTTAGGTGTGTCCTTACTCTGAAAAGGAAATATTTTTCTTCCCCAGCGTTTTCTTAGTCAGGGTTGAAAAGCAATGACTCAGGTAGGTGTCTGAAACAAGCTTCTTCTCGAACACCTCTTAACAGTAGCTTCTCTTCCATTGCAAAATGCATTTCTTATGTCTGCAATGTGCTTAGCTATTTTGTCATGAATATTTGTGGATACAAAACCTTTTATCTTTTAGGAATAAAAGAAGTCATATAAAGCTTGAGACTTTTTAAACTCTTCAGGCAGTTTTTCACTTTATAACAAGGCTATTATTTTGTGTATTTTCACCCTTCCCCAGACTGCTACTCCTTAGGAGTTTAACCTACTGTGTATTTCAAGAGCAGTTTGTTTGCTGAAGTTATCTCCTTGTTACCATTCCATTTGAATGGGAAAAGTATTTAGTCTATTCATAAAAAGGAAGTGTTAAAAGGTGTCCTGCCTACAGGGAATATTGGGGTTTGTCTTTACAGCTGTTCAATTTTCTACACCTCACTAGTGTTCCCACAGATCTTGTATTTTTGGCTTGTTTCACTTTGCCTATTTTCTATCACCTTGCTTATTTTTTGTTTGATGCCCACTCTTCTCTTTACTCTAATCTTTCTCTTAAATCTTAAAACTCCACCACAGTAAATACCTGCTAAATTGTGGAATCCTTAGTTAAGTTTTTTAATCCAGTATAAATGAGAGAGATTCAAGGTTAGTACCTATTTTGTCTACCTCTGAGGAACACTAAAATGTTACCAAATGCACTTTATTCCACCAGTTCATGCTGAAATCTCTGCAATTAATAATGTTTGTTGAGCAGTTACACATATTTTCACAACTGTTTTCAGGGTTTCAGCACATTCCAAGAACTGTTTGTGGTAGTTAAGCTCTACTTTGCAATGTATTATGAGTTACAAACATGTAAGGTAGCCCTTCATAGGGGTCTTAAGTACTAATTATTGCGTGTTCTTGTATTTTAAGTACTTCCATGAACAGGAGTCAGAAGTCATTTGAAATACTGGAATACATTAGTAAAAGAGAGTAGTAATAGAAATTTTGATACAAATTCATTCAGATTATTTCAAAGAAGGCCTCAGTACTTCTAGGAGCATTTAATACCTTAACATTTAGAAGGATTAAACACCTTAATTCCAGAAACTTACTTTAGCTGGGGCTTAGGGATTTATTTATTTTCCCATACTCTGCTAGCAGGTTTCTTACCCACTTTTTCTCGTGTCCTTTGTTAATGAAGAAAGGATGGCTCAGTTTGTGTCCCAGCTGAAGCTGCCTGCTGCAATGCTTGCCTCCCAAGCTCACGGAAGACCAGGGCCCCCAGGAAAAGATGGGTTACCAGGGCCACCAGGAAAGGATGGTTTGCCAGGGCCACCAGGAGAACGTGGAATTCAAGGTAGGAATTCCAAAAAATGTTCCCATGAATTGTATCTTGAAATCTTTATACACCTGCTAATGATTGTTAAATAAGCCAGGATTACCTATCTAGCTTCCTAATAATTAACTTTTAAAACTGTACTTATGTTTTTCCAGACTAGATCTAAGTATTAACCCATAGTAAATGTGTGGATTTTACTGATTAAAAACTCCTAATCAGTGCATTTTATTCTAATAAGTGATAAAGTTAATTACTGACAGATATCTAAAGCTGACAGATACCTAGACTACTGTAGCAGTTATTTTTTTCTCCAAAATACTTTAACAAGTAAGAAAAACTATTCCAGCACTCTAATGTAACTATTTCAATCCTGTTCGATATTGAGAGACCATCTTATTTCAGAACCAAAATTAGATCTCCAAGTCTGAGTGCTTTCAGCTCTGATCCTGAGACAACAGAGGGGAGGAAAAACTGAGGGCAAATATTATTCTTTAAGCAGCAGTGAAAACTGAAATATTACCACGTGAATTCTTTTTACAGTGAAGTAATCTATTTTCACAAATCAGTTTCAGAGTAATCGGCTTTTCACTAAACCCCAAACGGTAATTTGTACATTGCAATGCATTTGGAAAGTGTAGGGCTCTCGGTTCACTGAACTGTCTTTCACTGCAAAATTAGCTTCAAGGGACCCAGGCTCATTGTAGCTGCGCTCTACTGTAGAGTCAGCCGCTCCGAGATTAAAAGGAAGAGGAGAACAGAATAAAAGGAAAAAAGAATTTATCAATGAATAATATTTTGTGGGTGGGTAATATGTAATTTGCAGTTTATCTGGAGGTAGTTCTCTATTATCTTTTGTTAGTTTGGTCTGCTCTGGAGTCAGAGCAAGTCAGACTGGAATGAAGAACATGAGAGCAAAGCTGAAGATGTGTGGATCCTAAAGCTATCAGAAGAATAAAGACTTACTAACACTGATAAGCGCAAACCCCTGACAGAAGCTTGAAAAATGTGATGAGCTCAGAATGAGAAGAACAAGAAAAAAGGATCAAGGAAAACAATAAAAGGCTTAGAATCTTACAACACTGACTTCATCATTACCTAAATATTCAGATCACTGTAAACAACTTCAATGTCAGTGCCAGATTGTTCAATGATGATGTATGTGGTGGATAGTCTCAGACGCTTCTGGGAAGTGGAACGTTGTCCTAGGCTTCATTTCCAGCTAGTGAGCATCAAGAGTAAAGATGATAGCTATGCTTGAAAATAAAAAAAAAAAAAAAAAAAAGCTAAAAAAAAAAAAAAAAGCTGCTTTTTCATGCCTTATGCTTAACTAAAAGTAGTGCCCCATGTATGCAGGTTTTCCATTTATTTTACTGATATGCTCAATACTCATTTTTTATTAGGAAAAGGTAAGCTAAGTGAGAAACATTTACTTTTCTGATACATCAAAAGATATATGAAATCATACTTCCAAGGAAAGAAAACCAAAAATTTGTCTTGCCTCCTTTTTACACTCTGAGTAAGAGATAGTCCCGTGAGAGACACACGCTTACAAATACCCTTCACGCCTTTCCCAGTTGTGCCTGCGCATGTTATTGTTTCGTGCCGACAGTAAAAAGAAATTCAAATCTCTGAGCGGATTGAAAAGTATCCTTCCATATTCCAGTTTATTTTCAGCCATAAAAGACATAGCAGACAAGACTTCTTGGAGAAGCACGTTACGTGCACGTGTGGCTGAGACCATCAAGGTAGCATGCTGTGTGCGCGTACGCCCAAGTCATAATACGCGTTCGGTATTGACTGACGGATATCCCTTATTATATTTCTCACTCGGGTGTAGCCCAAATTGCCAACTCCGGGGTTTTGCCGTGTGCAGTAATACACATCTGGGCTGGCAGAGTGAAACATTCCCTTGTCCCGTACAGCCAGCGAAAAGAAGTAGCTATTTTTGGAGGGCAATTAACGGGACCTCTACTACCGCCTCCAGAGCCTGTTTGTGATGCCGCACACCGAGCAGCGATCCTGCCGGAGCCGGCCAGTGGGAAAGGCAGGCGTCGCTCTGGGTCTGGGAAGGTGCTTAACTTCACCCGCGGCTTCGCAGGGGTCCCTCCGGACACCTTCAGTGGGGTGCCAGTTCCCCCGGGAACTGGTCTGGTGGGACCTGGCCAGATTCCACCAGAGCCTCCTTCTATGCAGCAAACCGATAGGTAGAGGTTAGTCCCAGAAGCCGAAAACATGGATACTAACTTTTGGAAGTGTAGGCATGGTCTTCAAAAAGTGTATTTAAGGAATTGCTAGACTCTTGGGCGTAGAGTCATTCATTCCTAATAAAGTCCAGAACTGCTACCTGCTGGCCTTCAGCAAGGTTGTTCATAGTGTACCTCAGGTACTTCCCAGTGGTTCAGGTACAAATAATTTTGATTTTATAGGATGGTCTCAATAAAAATATAGCATGCAAACAAAAAACAACGAAGAATTGCAACTTAAATTATGAAACATGCAACTGGTATTTAAACAGACTTTATATAATAGCGATTGGAAGATTTTTTTTAATATATATACATTTCTTCATGTAAAAAAGAAAATAACCTATGGCATATGCATCAGCAAGCATACTGTGAGGCAGTGTTACCAATGAAATGTACAGCATCAGCTTAAGGGGGAGCAGAGGAACTTGTTTACTCTGTATGTGTTTTAAAGGATGCTAATGTCTCGTAGAGAAAGAGGAAGTTTATTTCAAGACTTTATAGACAGGCTATAGCAATGTCATCCTTTTGCAAACAGTCTGTTGTCATGTGTTAGAGGAGCTAGATCAATTAACTCCACTGACCTAATTGGATTTTTAAAACTATAATAATAGGTGAATTTTGGTCCGTTAGACCAAATGCACTTTGGGATAATTTTGCAATCCAGAGATCTTTTATGTTAGTATGATTTGGGTTTTTTTCTCAATAGAGAAAAATAGATTTCATCTTAGTTAAACTTCACTGTTTCCATCAAATTAAGGAAATGGGGTTTTTATAGGTCCTCATAACTCACAGTAGCCTCGAGGAATCAAACATCACAGCTCAGGAAAGAAAAATACCATGTGATGAATAGTGCAAGTTCCTTATCTTTATTGCTAATCTCTGTTGTAAAATTTGTGTCTCTCACTATAATTATTAATTTGTGTGATGGGAGCATGTAGAAACCTTGGCTGGCATCAGGAACCTGTTATAGTGGATGTTGTCCAGAGACAGTCACTCTTCTGAATAGCTGCACTGGTTTCAAGTGTTACGTCCTGTGAAATGTTCTTTGCTGTGGAGGGTGAAGTTAACCTGGTTTACTTTGGTTTCAAACACAGCTACTACCTCTCAGCTGAGAGGGCTGTAACACACAGAAGGAATTCAGAATATGCACTGGAGGCTGGATGAGAGGGCTCGCTCTCAGCACCCTTCCTGTTGCTTTGCAGTTGTTTGCTTTTAAGAACGCAGAGTATTTGCACAGTAAAACACAGCGGATACTTTGGTGTCATTGTTCCCTGTCATGGTAATGTGTTTGCCTCTGATTTTGTATTAAAGAACCTCAGATTTCTCTAGATACTTGACACGCTAGTTTCAGGTGCTGCATTATCCATGCAGATGGAAGAGGGTCTCTGTGATATAGGCAGAATAACTTTTGGAGCTGTTTAAATGAGAGAATTTTTTACCTCCAAGTTCACAGACATGAACTTGTGTCATTTCCAGGTAGAGTTGAGGGTGTTGCAATAGCGATGCTTCTGGCCATGATGTTTGTGGAGAGAACCAAACCAAGAGCTGTATTTTATCTATTGTCACTCATCTGTGAGCAGAAGAAAGCTTATCCGTTTGAATACGTACTTGCTACATACCAGTGTGTACCGTACTGCCCACGCTGGGTACGTGTTTACATACCACGACTTTTGGGTTGCAGAAATCACAACAAAACTTCTGGAACCCAAGTGAAAGGCCGTGCTAAAGCTGTCGCCTTTTGAATTAAGCAGGTACCTCTTACTGGAATTGTAATTCTACCAGTAAAAATAGACAGCATCTTATATGTGCCTTTAAGTTAAAAACAGTAAATCAAAATCCAATTTATGTGTATTTTCCTTCGACTGTGTATGAGTTTGTCACTTTAAGCTCAGAGAGAAGGTGATATTATCCTCTAGAAGTGTAATCATGGCCCTACTTCTGAGCAAAGTATACCTCATTGAAAATCAAATATTTTCCTGCCAGAATTACACCTTACATTGTTCGGATTGTTTACATATAGGCCTGTTTACTTATATGCTTACACCCTGTTAAATAAAGCCTTATTTTTAGAAAAGGTATCTGGGAATTTTTGTATTAAACTTCAGTGTCAAGAGAACTTACTACCACTGTGTACAACCTACACCTTTGCATGTGTATTCAGATACAGCCAGTAATGGTTTACACTACCCTGGATCATATATTTGCATTGGCAGGCTGCTCTTTGTCCTATTGTGGGTTGGTTTTTTTCCTTATTGTCTTGAATTCCAGCGAAGTTGGAATCTTTCACTCTATCTCAGTCCCTTTTCAATTATAACGTCTCAGATACCTACAGTAATGGTTATCATGGAGATTGTAAATGTGATATATTGTAAAGGTGATTTCTCGCTTTTCCCCATAACATAAAGAAATGCAAAACAAATGATTAGCGGCAGCACTACTTTGTAAAATTACAATTAACTGAGTTTGTAGTGAGAAATGTACTGTAACTATCTATTGTAAATTAGGAACCATAGAGGTATATATAATAAATAGGAAATGTATTAGATCCTGTGGTTGTACGATTGAGCTTCTGAAACAGTAGCAACTACTATGCGTTACAGAAGATTTTCAGAGCAAACCAACTTGATGTAGCTGTAAATACTACTGTGGTCATTAAAGAGCAAAATCAAGATTCACGACTGAGTACAAACACCTGCCTATTCCCTTTTTGAGTCTTTATAGCTTGTGCGCCTATATGCCTTGTACAATTCTGCTTAACGCAGCTCAGTGACCAGAATGCATGATTAATACTAAGTTTGCTTCTCTGTGAGCTTTTAACAGTTGATTTCCTTTTGTTACGTTATGCATGTCACTCTGCATGCATTTTCTAATGTTTCCACCTCACTGTAATTTCCTTGTTGGGGTGCTGAGAGAAGAGTAGGATAATTGGTGCTCTGTTTTGAAACCTAGAATGATTGCAACAGATAATAGACTTTCTACCAAAGTGTATAATGAGCCTGTGTTTAACGGAAAGCTCGAATACTCTGTGTACCATTCCTACTGCGTTGTGTCTGTCGTAACAACCCTGAATTGGTACCCACAGCACTTACAATAATTTCCTTCTGGATTGTAAAGTACCAGTGTTGTCGTAGACCGCAGCACATTGACAAGACAGCTTTTGCCATCCATCTGCCAGTGCCCATTAATCTTCATGAGACATCAGGTGGATTGGTACCGCTGTGCTGACTGGTCAGCCGTGACTCTTCTCTTTTAATTCAAACTAAGTTACAGCTCTTCACAAGAGGAAGTTTATTGTGTGGCATATGTGACACTGGAAATATACTGGTCCCTGAAGCAGAACAAATTTAATTCTAAATGTGACCAGAAGTTGGCAAATTAATCTTCAGCATATGTCACCTTACATGCCAGCGTCTGAGGAGTTGGGGAGGGAAGAGGTTTCCTTATAATCCCTTTTAAAGTAAGGCGTTGTGGCAGGTGTCACACTTGTTCCTTTAAAAATGCCTTCATCCCCTGTCCTACAGAAATTACATGGTCTAAACAGAAAAGGTACGTTTGTAGATGGATTCTTAACTTGAAATATTAAGCAAAAAGTTATACCGATAGCCACGAGTTCTCTACTCTAAAGCAGCCAGAGCTTTTCCAACTAATAAAACTTTTTACAAACAGTTTAAGGAAAAAGAAACAAGGGTTGCAGCACCCAAGAAGACGGAGGCTATTTAGAGAAATACAAAGCTATGGCCTGTGAAGAAAACGGACACAAATATTCCAAGTATAATTAGTAATTACACCTTGTTAATAACGTACAGTCACTTGGGTCAAAGTAGGTCTTGCATGCTAGAACCCAAAATCTGCACGAGCTCTAAAGACGCCTCATTCCACGTGTAATGCTGGAGTGGGAGTGGGTCTTCTCTCACATACAGGGGAATATCGAAGCATAGAACTACCAGTTTACAGTCTAAAAAGTGCAGATGTAAAGATTTATGTAGAGCAGAGAGGGCCAAGTCTTGCTCAGGTTTTGGGCTATCAGAGAAGGGCTGCTCAGACCCCGGATGGCCTTTGGGTCGGTGCTTTCCGTCACTTCATCGATCGGGTAACACTGGAGCAGAATACACATTTGGTTCTGTATTAGAGGAACTCCAGGAAGGTAACTTAAAATCTCGGGGAAAGGTCCGGCTAGTGAACACAGGGAGAGTCCTCTGGCAGAGGATGCAACGGTTCCTGCTAGCGGTGCTCATATTTTCCAGAAGGAACTTAAAAACATAAGACCTGTCTCAGAAAAAGAAGTGAGCACGTGTTTTCCCATCAACAAGATATATGCAAGATCACTGTTCATAGTAAGAGGACGCTCTTATTTTCCTGTCTTTATTCTGTGTAGGTTATAGAGGACAGAAAGGGGAAAGAGGCGAGCCTGGAATTGGACTGCCTGGTAACCCTGGACCACCCGGCCCTGAAGGTACAAGTCTCCAGATTTATTTCTGCTATTGTAATTTATGAACTAACAGGCCTTTCTCCTGGTTTTCACGCCGGTTTTAGACCCGTGCCTTCCCTCCCGAGCTCGGTCGTAGCGTGAGGTCAGACCCGCCTGCCTTCTCGCGGATGAGCTGGCACGCAGCTGACTGCCAGGGACGAAACGCGGGGCGCTGAGCACGCTCTGGCGAGGGCTCTGCTAATTCTAATTTTGTTTTACCAGCTACCGGCCTGCCAGGCCCGCCGGGAACGCCAGGCTCACCCGGACCGCAGGGGCCACCCGGACCCAATGGGAGATGCAATCCGGCAGATTGCTATTACCACGTATCACAGACTCGGTCACGCAGCAGCGGGAAATAAAAACCCTGTCCCCTAGACACTTGGGTTCACCGTCACTTTTCACTCCTCTCAATAAGTTAATTTAACCTTTGAAATATTTGGTGCATTTTTATTATTTTTTTTTTTCCCCTCGACACTGCACGGTATGTAGATAATTTATAAGGCACGGAATTGAGCCTTTTTCTATGTTATTTGCAGTGTCATAAGTACGAAATGATGACATATATTTTCCAGAGTGCATTCCATGTGTTACATTTCTCATATTTATTTTGCTTAGAGGAGAAAATAGGCCCAAATAGCTTTCATAAGCTTCTTTCTTCAAACAAAAAATATTTTATTATAACTTAAGACAGTATGTATGCCTCAGTATGTAAGCTGGCTTTATTTTTCTTGCTGGTGGTGAAGTTGAAAAGGAGAAAATGCATTTCTGAAGTTTTAAAGCATACCTGTTCGTGGCGAATGCAGGACCTGAGCTGGAGCGCTGGGAATTCAGTTTAGCCTAAATGTTCACGTCCCTCGCGAAGGCTCCGGCACACCTTCTGAACCAGGTCAGCGCCGTGCACTACGAACGCTACCCACCGTTTCAGTCGCTTCCTAGATGTCAAAGACGGGAACGAAGATGTGTTTAGCATCTCTCTAATCCCATCCGACGTTTAGCTTCAGACTGACTGGAAATCGCCAGATGTAGCCCCAAGAAGCTTCTCTCCTGACTGGATGTTGTCCCAGCTGAGGGCTTGTACGTTCGTTTAGTCCTGGTTACATATACTCCAGATATTAAACTGCTAGGGGCTGGTGTTGATGTTCCCAACTGAGAACTGACACGTCTCCTAACCGTTACGTGGACTTAGTAAGTGTAGTATCATCGCCTGTAATCAAGCTACTCTGCCGTTACGTCTGCTACAGCAAAGGCGATCCCTTGCTTTAGAGCAGAGGGTGGTGGGTACAGAGTGAGACAGTCAAAGAAGGAACTTCACAAGCCTCTAATCTTACTGGTGGCACAGTTTCCCTCTTCCTCCTGCAATAATCATCTGCCAAAATAAGCCTGAGAAGAACATGGAGACAGTAGAATGCAAGACTCGCAGGTCCTAATAACTGGTGTAATAACTCCTTGGAAAGGTGTACTACAGAGAGGACGACTGCATGCAGTTTGCAGGTATTCAGTAAATCCTACAGGACCAGATGTCATCAACGAAGAGGAAAACAGAACAAAGTGTAAATCCTGTAGAGCTCCAAGGGCTGAGCAAAAGAAAAGACGGAGAAAATCGATCACGCAGAGGCTGATTCTGAGAAGGAGGGAGGAGGATTGGCCAAAGTTTCACTCCTGATTATTAGGAAACAGATGATCCTACACGAGTCCTACGGAATTTGCTACAGTGCAATAGAAAGTGCAGGTGCTATTGAGGGAACATGGACAGCTGTAACCCACAACCTCAGAATAAATCCGTAGTACAAAAGCAGCACTGAGGGCTCTTGCCCCGCCGTTAGGAAGCCGGTCATCCTCTCCCACATCAGGCAGGGAAGTGGTTTTGGTGACTTTGAGCAGTCCTGAGCTGCAACTCCCAAATTAAAGTGCTGCGTTCCAGAGGAGCTGTTGTGAGACACGAATCTGGCTGACTTCTGGGTTTTGCTTAAAAAACAGTGAGGAATGACTGATGGGAGTCTTTAAAAGAAAAAAACCCACCACGTTGGTATTTGTTCTGAATAGCGTTCCTAGCCCTTGTACCCAGCCTGGAGGAGCGAGGTGAGCGCAGGAGGTGGTGGAGCTCACCCAGGTAGCTGGGGAGCGCAGGCAAGCCTTCAGGCATGTTTTTGGAGAACGAAAGCATAGCCGCTCGGCTTGTTAGTCAGTTAGGTGTTTGGAGGCAAGAAGGTGCTTGGCACAAAGATCTTTCCGTAAACCGAGAGGTCTAAATGGGAGAGGAGAGGGCAGGAGGACAGCAGAGAACCTGGGGGCTACTGTGAAACCATCTCCTGAAGGGAATCCACGAGCTGTGATAACGCCCTGCAGCTGGGGACCCCTTGGGGGGGTCAGGCTGCCTTCCCTGTCCCTCGTGAGGATGAGGACGGATGGGTCGAAGCCCACGGGCGAACCGCAGTCCTCGTGCCTCCTTTTCTGCTCATCCCTCCGGAGCCAACACCGGCCCCTTCTCCAGGCCTCCGCTCGGCAGGCGAAGGCGCGTTTGGAACGAGTGCTCCCCCCAAAAAAAACCCCACACCGCTCCCCATCCACACCTCCCGTGCCCGCGGCAGGCGGTGAGGGAACCCAGCGCTGGGCTTGCCCGGGCGGCCGGCGAGGGAAGCCGGGGGCCTTGCAGCGACGTACGGGTCGGTGTATGTACGTACGTACATACGCACACCAGCGGAGGAACGGGCCCCACGTACTGGTTTCCACTCAGCCAAAACGAACTGCTGGTCAGGTATCTTGCATGATTTTTTTTTTTTTTCATCGATTTCTTTTTACTTCTCTAGTAATTCCAATGTATGTAAAAATCGAAATATTTTTTTACTTCGTAAGTTAATTTTAAACTTCATTTTCTGTGATAATACCGAAAAGGGTGCTGTCTTGTCAAGAGCGTCCGCGTGACTGAGAGGTTTCCGAGCAGCCCCCGACCTGGAAGGCTGTACAAAGACTATTGCGCCGCATCAGTGGTATGTGTATATTTTGGGCCTTTTAGCTAGCTGAAACTGAGCATCTGTTATCTGCCGGATGCAATTGCTGTATGTTAATTTACTTGAACTTATCGAAAAGCAGAACACTTTTTATATTTGAAGAAGTTTTATTTTTTCATCTATGTTTCCTACGGATACCTTTTTCTTTTTATAGGCTCAAATCTAAAGGTCTTTTTAAAATGTATTTGAACACTTTCAATTGATTTGCAGGTAACTTTGGTAATTATCTTGTTGCATTGTTTTTTATTTTGCTAAAAGCCCACTTTCATTTTCTCATGTGAGAAAACGGGTATTTTTTTATACAGGCTATCTCAATACCTTTTTAAAGATGCCGCATTCTTCGCTGAGGTAGAAAAGCATTAATCCCAGCTTAACTTTACTTCACGCTGGCTTTGCTCCTACTCTATATTTTTAGAATTGGTAGCAGAATGTAGCTGGAAGCATACTTCTGCATGATTTTGAGGTTTAGCCCCTGAAATGTCTTTGCAGTTTCAGACTGATGTTGTCTTAGTTTTTGGGAAGGGGGCCGGGGCGGGCAGAGGAGTGCTAATCTGTTTTTTAATTTGCTTTATCAATTTCATATCTGTTTTGAGCAGTCTGTGCTGCAGTAAGCATTGCAAGGAACTAAACACAGAGGATTATTTTTTCCAGTAGCATAAGGTCTTTTTCTGATTTGGGAATGTTTACGTGCAGCAGGACTTTGAACTGAAATATCTTTGTCGAAATGTTTTAAACCTTTCTTAAAAGCTCTCTAAGCTTTGCTCTAGTTCAGGGTCAGACCATTATATTTTACAGCAAGTTGCTTTATCACCTACTAAGAAGGTGTTGGGATTTTCTTCAAATAGCTATGTGCAGAACTACTCAGTTTGCCTGAAGAAAGTAGTAAAATTGGTAAGAGGGAAACTTTTCTGAGGCTGCAACATAACTCCGTTTGTCCACACGGTGGAGTTCAAAACGTCTTTTCAGCACAAGGGACAAAGCCCCGGCTTAACTCGCTGGGCAGCGCAAGAAATGCCCCAGTGCTGCGAAGACTCACGGCACAAGAGTCAGTGTTTCTGATTTTGTTCTTGAGCCTGACTTTTTTTTTTCTTTTTTTTTTTTCCCCTAAAATCCATTTAGTTTGGCATGGTAGTATTTGCAGAAATACTGCCTTTCTTGGATTATTTTCAAGTAGTAGGCTTAGATTTTATTTGTGTTTTGTATATATACACATGTTATAGAAGAACATGCGGTAGGTAGTGGGACGTCCTGCTTTCAGGCATCGTTTATGTCCACTGCAGTGATGTTTGGCTCTAGAGGAGCAGGCAGTCTGCTAAGGTTAATAAAAATTACAACAGCATACTTCGTACGATCGAGTAACAGTGCAGCCTGCTTAGTAATGCTTTAGGAACCAATAATTATGTCTTAAACTGGATTTGGTTTAAATGCTAAAAGAGCACTGTGATATGGAAACAGGATTGATTGTATCATCCATCCTCCATTTATGTTTTAGGATTGTGGACTATGACAGATGTTAGATATGCACAGCTTTATTAAATAAGTGTATTTTTTAAATTAATGGATAATCACACAAAATATTTTGCCACTTCTTTTTCACAAGGGTGAAATACTATTTTTCATGTCAGCGCACGCTCAATTTTTTTCTTCTTTTCCTGTAATGTTTACATAAAAGTCTTGTAAAAACCCCATGGGCAAAACTAGCATTTTTATAAACTTGTTTCTCTAAATATACTACGTAAAGCCACCCTCTAGCCTCGCATTTGACCAGTGCAGTAGAACGGCTGTAACGGCATGTTAGAACATGAGAAGAATCTCAGGAATCAAAACAAGGTTGGTTTGGGAGCAGGGTTTATGATGTTTTTGTTAGATTCTGGATGTACGGAGTCATGTAAATTTTCCTTGAAATCTGTTATGCCCACTACAACCAGATTGTACTGGGTGGATGTTCAAATCCATCTGCACCCATGTAGGTGGCTGTAGGCCATGGAGAACAAGTTTAACCGTGACCTTGCCTGGGTTGGTGTTTAAGTGGAAAACCCAAGCTCCACAGTACCTTAAGGAATTGTGGTTTTCAAGTATTAATTGCTAACAAATGTTACAGATTCTAGACCAAAAGAAGTTTGTAGCTAAAAAGAATGTAGTCTACATGTCTTTTAGCAGTTTTATCTCCAAGTCTGCTGTTCTACAAACACAAATGTGTTTAATTATTTACTGAAGTTTCAATGTAAATATATTCTGTCTCCAGTCAACATATTTGAAGGATTTTCAATGACATACCTTATTATTTTCTTTCATTTTTGAATTATATGCAGCTGTCACTGAATGAATCGCAGTAGGTGCCAACTGGTTGCTTCTTTCCTTCATTATATTTTTGGTTTGCAACATTTAAGGTTCGATTCAATGGAAACGTATTAAGTGGATAGAAAATTGCTTTTTATGTTATTATGTGGCCATTTACACCTGAAATAGGATTCTGGATGGAAATGGAAATGTTTCCCATACTTTTTTAGAAACGGCAACCCTTCCTTCCGTGTCAAATCACGAGAGGGAGGATGCAACTGCCAACGAGAGAGAGGAGAGGCACAAAGCTGCCGCAGCGAGCGCTGGGGAGCATTCGGCGCTGGGGCTGCAAGCCTGGGCTGGCTGAATTCGGGGGGGGGTTGCTTTTGACCACACTGGGGTCAGGTTTCTGCTTCCTACGGGTCGGTGAAACTTAGGGGTCCACAGTCTGGAGAAAAAAAAAAAAAAGTGAAAAACCTT